GCAGAGTACTGGACATATTTGACCCCCCCCGCCCCTTCCCCTTTCTGTAGCGGACTACAGGTTCTCGGGTCGAGACAGCCTGATTTTCCTGGTCGACGCCTCCGAGGCCATGTTTGAGTCCGCCGGGGACGGAGCGGCTCCCTTCGACATGACCGTGCAGGTGAGGTCCCAGATTATTTCTCCTGGTGAAATTTAGCTTAAAGCATTTGCTACAGTGTCTCTGCTTGTATAAACTGCTGATTGCCAAAGGCAAAACTTTTGCATCCTTAATACAACTGATGTTCTGCATATTTTGACCTGTGTGCATTTTTTTCAGTGCATCCGGAACGTGTATACCAGCAAAATCATTAGTAGTGACAGGGACCTGTTGAGTGTCGTGTTCTATGGTACAGAAAAGAACAAGAACTCGGCAGACTTCAAGCACATTTATGTTCTTCAGGATCTGGACAATCCAGGTAAAGGCAGTAAAGTGGTATGAAGGTTATGTGGAAAGACAGAGTAAGGACATCTGTGTAGTAGCATTGGTAGTAACTGACCTCTCTGAAAACAAAATGGTATCAGATAAATAAAAATGTTCCTGTTACTGAGAAGCATTGGTGGGGGGTAGGGGGGATAGTTTCAGAAATATACTGAAAGCTGAGAAACCTTCTAGGAGCTTAGCTTTTTGTGTTGTAGTTGGTTCAGATCCCTTTCCTATGTCTTTTCTTCTATTTTAACGTGGTGGTTCACTTGGTGTAGGCTAAAGCTAAGAGGATCTCAGCAGAACTCTTGAAAGCTGGTTGTGTCTCTGCTGTGGTTCAGAAAAGTGCATGTACGTGCGAAGGCACCACGAATTCCAGCTGATGGAGAATATATCAGAATGGCTGAGGTTGGGTGGGATTTCTGGAGGTCATCTTGTCCAGCGCCTCTGCTCAAGCAGGGCCAGCTAGAGCAGGTTGTCCAATATATTACCTGTTTAATGTGTTGTGTCTCTTATTTTCATAAGAAGTTTTGCAGTTCTTGAATTTAGCTCTTCTGTTTTCTTAGAATTTCTTAGAATTGCCTAGCGTGTGCTTGATAAAGAGTGTCAGTTGCTGAATTAGAAAAGGGAGGAGGAGGAGGAGTGCAAAGAACGCACACTAGTGGTGACAGGTTCTCTGACAGCGGAGAGTCTTGCGGGGGTTTTTGTCTACAAGCTTTTAATAGCAGCTGGTATCTCTGAGGAGGTTTTATTTTATTGTCTTAAATAGGAGGTGCAGGTTAGTGTTCTTGGTGTCATGCTTTAATAATGCATGGGATTATCCTGTAAGAAATGTGTCTTGTCCTAGTTTCAGAATTAATTACGATGGGGACCTGACAAGACTGCCCTAGGTTCTTCTGCCTTTTCTGTCAGCAAGCGCCTTAGGCTTCTCACTCATCCTTTTTCCTCCTCCTTGCTTGCTTGCCCTTTTCATTGCGTTAGAGGCAGGAGTTTTGCCATCCTGATAAAGGCAGTGCAGGTGAAAGGTGGGTGGTGTTAAAAAGGAAGAGAATTTGCTGCCCCTGGAGAGCAGCATGCTCTGGAGAAGGAAGAAATACTGTAGCTAGTTATTATGTGATACATAATTATGAACACTTATGCTGTTCGTTAAATGACACCCGAGGAGATGAAAATAAAATAGTAAATGAGGGAGAAGACATTTTCAGATGAGATTTCAAAAGTGCTGTAGAATTTGAGTGAAGGACAAAGGAAGAAGCTCTGCAGAATGCAGTAGCTGAAAAGCGAAAGCTTGTCTCCCTTCGTAGAGTTATGGGAGAAGACAGAGAATCTGGTGTTAGACAGGCAGGGAAAGAAGTCATAGCTGGGCTGGAGTAATCCGCAAAGCTTTAAAAAGGCCACGGATACCTGCCCTGAACGTTGCTGTGCTCCATGTGGTGATCTGTGGGCTGCATCTGACCTCTAGGTTGATTCCATCGACATGAGGGGCAAGGGAGCAGGAGGAATTCTCCACCTTCCGGATGTGCCGTGGAGATGCAGGATGTATTTTGAGCTCCTTTCTCTGGTGGCACAGCAGACTGCCATGCCTCTGCAGCGGGTGCAGCTCTGCCTTTCCCGCCGAGCGCTTGTGCCTTCGTTGCAGAGGGTTTGTGATGCTTTGATCCCTGCCCGTTTCCCTTCCGCAACAGGAAGAGCCCCGCATTGGTGCCAGGGCACTTTGTGTCCTCTGAGCCCTCGTCGGTGCATTCAAAGGATAAGCAGCTTGCAATATTGCAAATGTTGGGCTATGCTGAGCAATTTTCTCAGCCAGGTGTTGGATGAGCACCGCCACAGAGGTGCTAGGGGATGTTACTCAGGCGCCAGCTGCAAGGGACTCTCGCTACATGTTTAGAAGAGTTTGCGATGGTACTTTCAGTATTTCTAATGCGTGCAAATGCTGTTATCGCCCCTAGGTGCAAGACGTGTTCTAGAGCTGGACCAGTACAGGGGAGATGAAGGACGAGTGCTTTTCCGTGAAACCTTTGGCCACAATGCTGACTATTCGCTGGGTGAAGCACTCTGGGCCTGCTCGAATCTCTTCAGCGATGTCCGAGTCAGACTGAGCCACAAAAGGATCATGCTCTTCACCAACGAGGATGACCCTCATGCCAATGACAGTGCTAAAGCCAAGCTGGCCAGGACCAGAGCTGGTGATCTGAGAGACACAGGTCATTGTCTTCTCCTTTAATTTCAGGCAGAATAGAAGTGATGTATCCTTGCAGCAGATGCTAACTGCATTGCAAGTTTGTGATGGGAAGAGAATGTAAAATCATCAGAACTGGGGAATCTTTCTGAAGCTTTCGAAATTAGAAATTTGCTGTCTAATGTAAATCAGAAAATCTGTTATCCAGCAACTAACACTTATTTTCTAGGATCTGTTTTTCTACTCTGATAGCATAAATCAGAACTTGAGAGGGCCATGGAAAACACTCTACTTTATTTCATTGTTCCACCATTTTCCAGGAAGGGAATAATAAGGCTAAGTTAACACAAAAGGAAAATTACTTTAATGACTCCATTTTGAATTAGCTGAAGAGCAGCAACCTGGGCTCAGAGACTGGGGAACAAATGCTTCTTTAGGTCAACTATATGGCTGAGATAACCAGTGTTTTTGGAGTTCAGCAGATGTGCTGAATCTAGAAGCTGTGAGGCTTGCGTAGCCCACTAGCCTTTGTAACTGGGAAAGGGGAATTTCTGAACGTACTGCTACCTTCTGTGCCTGAGGTAAGATTAGGTTTTGTAGGAGCGTGTCAGACCTGTTTCATACACAGTGTTGTCCAGATTCTTAATTAGGGAGGGAACATTTTCTGTGCTAAGTTGTTGTGAGCGAAGTTGAAGAATGTCTTTTGCCTCTTTC